GGCAAGTCGCGTGGACCCTTTCTAACCGAGTGTGGGGCATGCACAATTGCATGGATCTTTTCTAACGTGGACTATGTGCACAATCGCATGAATCTTTTCTGTGGAATGTGTGCACAGTCACATGGACCCTATCTAACCGCGTGCATGGGATATGCACAATTCAATGGACCCTTTTTTAACTGCACGTGTATTGTGTGCACAATCACTGTGTGTAGGGTGTGCACAGTCTTTTCTAACTGCATGTGTAATATGTTAATAGTCACATGGACCTTTTTTGTGTATAAAACTGTGCACAGTTGAATGGACCCTTACAAATGTGTGTGCAGTGTGTGCACAATTAGCAACTCCAAGCATGTGTGTAGTGTATCTACAATCGCATGGCCCCTTTAAACTATGTGTAGTGTGTACAGCCACATGCAGTGAGTGTATACAATCATACAGACCCGTAGCTAACCATGTGTGCAGTGTACACAAACAAAAACAAAAACACTATGTTATCAGCTCTCAGTGACCAGAGAGATTACTGACCCCAGAACCAGTGTGCAGCCGTTGGGTGAAGAGATGTGACTCCTAGCACAGTCTCCTATATATTAATTGCAAATGAAATAAATAATCAGAATAATCAAAGTTAGAATACTTGTTTGCTAGGGCTTCTTTGTCCAGACACCATTATCTGGAACAGGTTTGAGTACTCCTCTGGTTTGGAGGGCAGAAGCCCAGAGCATCAACGCATGCTTCCCTTGTTTCCTAGTCTGCTGGTAGCCGGCAGTCATTGATGTTCCTTGGCTTGTTAAAGAATAGCCAAGGGAAATCCCAAGTGGTATGTTGAATGTCGTGGAAGTCTCCAAACAGAACACATCATGAGCACCCATGCCCTTTTAACCTGCATCTCTGCAAGGCCATCTTGGTGACCAAGGACAGACCTAACTCTCAGTGGACCAGTGAAGAGCAGCATGTGTTGAGAGCTTTATAATAATTCAGTAACATTGTTTCCTCTGCCAATAGTCTTAGCACTGTGTGGAGGCTGCCCCCCCCCCCCAGGAGTGCTATCCATCTTTCAAGCCCCTGACCCTAACATGGGGCAGCCAACATGAGATGGCCTTACCCCAAAGATAGTCACCAGCATGAGCAGCTGAGAGAAGATATCAAGTGGATAAATAAGTAAAGCACCAAGAAAAACTGCACACTCACAGCTCTGCAGACAGATGCACAGGGCTTAAGGACAAACGGCATGTATTGGGTAGACAAACAGGCTTGCTGGGTTATTGTTACAGAAACAAGACAGATGGCTCCTATGAAGTATATAAACACATTCAGATATCAGCTTTTCCTCCTCCCAAGTCTAAAAGATTTATTTAGTTCTTAAAGTTTTGTGGGCGTGTACATGTATGAGGTGGTGGGGAGTATATACCATGGCATACATACATGAAGATCAGAGCACAACACTGTGGAGTCTGTTCCCCCCTCCCACCTTTATTTATTTGAGGTACGGTCTCATATGGCCCAGGTGGGCCTTGAATTTGCTATGTAACAAAGGATAAACTTGAACTTAATGATTTTCCTGTCTCTGCCTCCAGAGTGCTAGGATTATAGGCATGCACAATGACCCACTTGTATGGTGCTGGGATTAAAATTAGGGCTTTATGCATGCTAGGTAAGCATGGTAGTAAACTGTACCAACTGAGCTACATCCTCAGGTCCCAAAGTGTGTGTGTGTGTGTGTGTGTGTGTGTGTGTGTGTGTGTGTGTGTGTGTGTGCGCGCGCGCGCATTATATATACAGCACATCACATTTGGGGGGGGGTCACTTATCTCACCCTGTTAGCCACCAGACCACGCTCTGTCCTGTGAGAATAGGTGCCCTCATACAAGTCTGTTTCTGAAATGTCTCTGACACTGCTGGAGAGGTAGCCTCCACTGGAGGGAGGCACTGAGGTATGTTTTCTCATAGAAATAGTAGAAACAGTCTAGGGAGCTTCATGTCTTAATCCCCCAAAATCACTTAAGAGGAATTGAAAGCTTTTGCACTTTTAATACCCAGTACTGGAGTGAGGAAACGAGAGGACAAGGCAAGGGGAGGGGTTGTTGGTTGTACTTCTGCTAAGGGGACAGCCAGAACAAAAGGATCTCCTATTCCCAGAGAAAGAAATGCTCCCTGACTTTCACCTAGCAGTTTTCCCACACTGGGTCCTTCTATGACATCTTGGCTTTGACCATATAACTGCCTAGGACAAGTGACTGAGGCCTTCTGGACAAATGTATCATGGCCTCTTCACTTCACAAGGTGGTTTCCTACCTCCTAGGAGTTCAGGGACCAACCTTTGCCATGTCTGTCTGGTTGCAGCCCACCAGAAGGAAAAAGGGTCAGAATCAGAGAATGGAGCTATAGCAAGTATCTGAAGGGTTGTTTTTCTCCCTTGGTCTCCGGCTGACCAGAAAGCTGTCATTGCCATGCTCGCCACCTGCTGGTTGGTGCCTCACAGCATTATTCAGGAAGTTCCTTTGAGGATCGATGTGAAAGTTCCCCAAGTTTATGACATTGAGAAAGAATATTCTAGAATGAACATAACACTGATTAAAGTAAGTCTATACCAAATCTTTCCAGCTATGGAACTTTTAACTGAAAATCAGGGGAGAAACCCTTCACTGAGAAAAAAATAATAGAAAGATGAATTTTAAGTAAAACCTTTTGGTTATTTCAGGTTAAAAACTGTAACCACAAATGGAGTAGAAATAAATCTGTAAACAAAATGGATGAATGAGGGAGACAGAGACAGACAGAGGTTGAGATTGACTGGTACTCCATAAAACCTAAATAAAATGAAACAATCACAGGCCTGGAATGAAAGCCAAAGTGCTGGCTTTCAATTTCACAAGTGCATGCATCGTGGACTCTTGTGCAGAGCAATGCAATGGCTGCGTGTGTAAGCACTGCATACGCCCCAGTGCTGGTGTTTCCAGGACATTCTGACTTAGATCTTTGCTCCCATGAAGAAAGTGTGTGTTCTGCGCCATCCAGCCATTCTTGTCGTAACTGGGAAACACTTTCACCAGATCTAAACAAATTAGCCTTAACAGGAAACTCACCTCATTAGTTATGGTGGATCCTAAGCCTAGAAAAGACATTATAACAAGAAGCCACGAACTCTACAAGTAGACATGGACTAGAAATAAGTTGCAGTGAAGTGTAAATTTAACAGTGGGTTGGCCTTGGTGAGGCTCTGGGTTCAGACCCAGCTCCAGAGCAGCAATGAAGACATGGATAAATGGTTCTCACTTTTACCCACTTTTTTTTTTTTTTCTGCCTTTCAAATGAATGGCTTTGCGTGTGAGGCGAAGTTGGCCAAGGAGAGGAACTTGTCTGACACTTTTCAAAGCCAGCTTGTTTTTGGATAGAAACTGCAGTGGTTGAACAAACAAGTGGGAAGTCACCCTCCAGACCAAAGGGGTAGAAGGATTTACATTCCTCTATGCAATAACTAACTACACTCTTTTGCTATTTAGCAGAGCTTACAATGTCTCCAGGATATTAACTGCAAATTAAATAATCAGAATAATCAGTGTTAGAATCTTGTTTCATAGGGCTTCTGTGTTCAGTGTAACTTAGAACAGGTTCAAGTACTCCTCCTCTGCTTTTGCTTTGGAGGGCAAAAGCCCAAAGCAGCAAGGCATACTACTCAGGCTGAACAGTCTTTTCCTGTTTCTTGGTCTGCTGGTGGCCGACAGACACTGAAGCTCTTGCCTTGTGCTGTCATCCCTCCATCTCTGCTCCTCCTATAAGACATGCCATCCTTCCTGTGTAGCTCTCTTTTCTCCTTTTCCTATAAGGTCATTGGTCATGCTGTTTAAGGCTCCATCCTAATAACCATGTCTTCACTTGACACCAATACCAACCCTATTTCCCAAGGCCAAGCACTTCAACATCTTTTGAGGTGACATTTCTACCAGTAGTGTGTCTCTAATGGGGTGGCTGGTTTGCTAGTTTGGGGTGATTGCTTGCTGCAATCCCTAAGGTATAGGGCAACATTAAAACTGAACTCTAAGGGCTACTACAACCTTTCTGAAACTGAAATTTACTATTTCATTTCTGCTTAAGGGAATTCAAAGGCCCTCATTCCTTTCTGATGTGATCTGGCAAAACCCTGGTCCTTTCTCATAGCTGCATTAACTTCTGATGGCTTTCTTGGTTTCTTTGTCCTTCTTAGTTTTCCTGTGGCAGTACAAGGGATCAAACCCAGGGCCCCTTGAATGCCAAGCAAGAGCTCTACCACTGAGCTATGTCTGAAACAGGTTTCTTAACATCTTTTGCCCCCTCCCTACCCCCCATTCTGTTCCTTTCTCTAAAACACAGCCAACTTTCCATCTGGGCAATTCCTATCAGTTCCTTCTGTGAGACCAGCCTTGACTTCTCCAGGAAGCCTGCAGACCCCACCTGTACTGCTTAGATATAGCTTATTTTGGAGGCTATGAGATGAAAATCCCGAAGCCTGAGCAGAATCCTGGCTTCACTGATTTGACAGCTGTGACCTTGAGCTGGTCAATGAACCTCTCTGTACCTGTTCTCTCATTCATCAACAGAGGTTTAGAGACTGATATGTACAGTATGCATGTTTGGTTTCACTGCATTAAAGGATATAAAGTGCCCAATGGTGCTTTGAACCTATCTGTTCTGTATTAGTCAATTGACCTCCTGTCAATCAGGGTACACTTAGACTTTCTGGCTATCCTCTACCAGATTATAAACCATTTGAGGGATGAGACTACATTTGTCTTGGGCATACTCCTTGCCTACAAAAGCACTTGGCATTTAAATCTTTCTGTCATAAAACTCAAAGGCCTCTAGCCAAATGAGTCGATGCAGAGGGATGGGAGTGGTGGTGGTTTCTTTCTACAGGAAGATGTTATAGCAAAGGTAACAGAAGGGTGGAGTGGTGAAAAGAAAGAAGAAAGGACTGAAGTCACCAGGAGAGAGAGGAGAAGTACACAGGTCTTTATCTCTGGAGCTAGCAGGTGTAGGGAGTGACCCCAATACCTGTACCAGTGATCACACCTGGTTGATCCTGAAGGGTAGGATAAAGGGCGAGGAAGAGCCAGGCTCGCTCTCTCTCGGGGTTCAGCCAGGTCTCTGGAAGCATCTGGGATCCTGGCGGTTCGGAGTGCCCGTGTACGTAGTCTTCATTGTTATCACTTATAATATACCATAAATAACCACACCTTGTGTACAGTTTGTGTTTCTTTTCAAGCAGGCTCATCATTGGAATTCAACCAATATATGCAAAATAAGGAAAAAATGGGGCTTTACATAAAATCATTAGTGAAATGGAAATCAAGAAATAACTTTTCTTTTAAACATCCAAACGTACAATTTATAGAAGTGATATCATATGCCATTTGAATAAAATTTCTCAAATTTAAAGGAAAGTTCAGATTGCAATTCAGGATGCCCAAAAAATGATATACTTAATGAAATGTCTTTATAAAACTCATCATTGTGTACAACAAATAAAAGTAATTTAAAAGTATAAACAATAAAATCATATAACAAACATATAGATGCAGAAAATATATAATATAATTTAACAGATACCTACTAATAAAAATATGGAAGAACCCTCAGCAAACAGGAAAGGAGATATTGTCAACCTAAGAAATGTAATCTATGAAAATCTTACAACTAATTTTATATAGACTGGTGAAACAGTTGCACATTTCCCTCTAAGAGCAAGGAAAAGAATTGAAGGATAACCTACAACTCACAAGATGTTCAAAGACTGTCCTCAGTGTGAGTAAACGCTTCTACTTACAGCTGGTGCCATGTCACTGTTTACTAACTGTCCCAGCTTAGTTCACAGCATAAGCAGATAAAAAATATCTATTTATATATGAAATGTAACTGCTCAAAAAGTTAAATTCCTTATTTCTTAAGGTTTTACTCCCACAAACAGAGCACAATTGAAATAAATGTTCAGACTCCTAAGTATATATTGTAACAGTATTTCCTAAAAATAATAAGAATCAGGCTTTATGAAATGCTTAGGAATCCCAGTAGAAACAACACTATAAAAGACTTTAATATTTTGACTAAGTAGTATCTTGAAAAAGACAAATTTCTAGAAAAATAAATTCTCAGATCAGTAAAGCTTGTTCCCCATTTATTTTGTGGGTATAATTCAGAAATACAAGATATGAAAATTCTTTTACAGTAATGCCACAAAAGCTTCTAGAGCAGCAACCCATTCCTAAAATGTATCAAAATAGCCATGTGTTCTTTGTCAATGTAAAAATGTCTTAAGAGTTCTCACCTTAAACAAGTATAAAATATAATGGCAACTCTCTCCTTTTCAAAATATCAAACCCACAACCCTCCATTAGAACAGCAGGATTTGGTTCAGAACTGAAGGGTGGCAATCAGCAGGAACTTATGAAAGCTGGGGTCCTAAGGATTAAGGGAAATAAGAGACACAACACATCTTCTAGCAAAACATATGGGTATTAATTGTGGCCTTGAGTGAGACATCTTTCAATTAGAACACAATATAATAAATTTAAATATGTTGACGGATGTAATTCACTGAAACAAATGCGTACAACTGTTTGAATTGAAGCAACCGTTACAGAAATGGCCTCATCTTCTAACTACCAGAAAGTCATCTACAAGTTTTGCTTTCAGGAATCAATATCTGATTTAACAGATCCAGAAAAATATATACCACTAAATTATATTAGCGGAAAGAGATCACAACATTCTAAATAATCAACTGTATAAATTATTAAATTGTAAAATTATAGGAAGGAATAACTAAGAGGAATCAAACCTAGGCCTGCACATAAGTGTTCTCCCACTCCATCACTTCCCTGGTCCCTGACTCTTTTTCTTTTCTTTTTTTTAAATAAATAAGTGGAGATTGTTTCCTATTCATTGTCAATTATGAAGGGTCCCTAAATTAATGTTGGAATTTACATAGCAGAGTGACATTAACTTTCAGGATGCATTACAATAAAATAATACAACCCAAGCCAGCAGAGCAGGCATTCAGAACTGAAACCCCACAAGCTCTTGGTCACTCAGAGGAAACACTACAGCAGACCTGTAAACCTAGGGCTGGGTTTAGTAACTCAGTGGTGGGACTCTGCCTTAACATTCAGTAAAAAATGACACGTGGTTAACTCTAAAGAAAAAAAAAAAAAAAAGCAGATAATTTCCCTAACACAATTGGACTGTCCCCTGCCAAACCATTCTTTTCCTGAGCAGAAAAAATGTAGCATTTCCACATCTCGAATGAAATCACAGTTTTGTGGGACACTGCTTTAATGTTGCATTCCAAACGCACATTTCAAAGTTCAATGTCTGTTGGACTTTTCAAAGCATACTGATACCCACGATATTTGCATGGAGTCTGGTAAAGTTAACAAACAGGCACATGATGCTGATATGACATGGATAAAAACTACAATCCTCTCATAAGTTCAAGTTCTTATGAGACAAATGAATGATGGTATCAACTTTAGAAGAAACAAATAAAGCACATTCCGAGCTTTTGTGAGTGAGGATGTTGGGGCCTCTACTAACATCTTGCACAAAAAGACTTATGCCGTGGCATCATGGTCTGCAAACCTGAGTTTACACTGGGATAGGGTTAGCATCTCCCACCATGAAACAAGGCTTTTCAATTTATTTCCGGCATTATCCACATAGCCATTCTCTACCTGAGGACTGTCTGAAAACGGGATAATGAAAAAAGTTAATTGTACTCTGTCAGGCTCCACATTGGACTAGATTTTAGCAGATAATAGTAGAAAGTACGAACTGTCTGGGAATACTTCTAAGAAAATAAAATTGGACACTGTCCACATAGGGATGTGTTTGTTTCCTGTGAATTGGGAACCTATCCCCACTGCTCCACCCCAGCAACTGTCCAATGTGACATAAGTTGTGAACTTTGGCTAGATCAGACTGGAGGGGTCCTGAAATTATTCTGGCACTGTCTACCTATTCCTCTCCACAGAATGAAGTTATGACAAGCAATGCACATAATAAAGTCTCTGTAATTATATTTAAAATATGTTTTTCTCAGGTCTTGATAAAGATGGAGCCACTAAATGCCTTATTAATTAAAACTAAGCCACCATAAACTCAAGAGCTTGAAAAATTCAAAGAGAAAAAAAAAGCATAGGTCACTGGCTATGATGGTGCAAGGCTATAGTGTTAGCATTCTGGTGGCTGGGCAGGGGACCAGGCCAAAAAAAAAAAAAAAAAAAAAAAGGAAGAAAGAAAGGAAAGAGAGAAAAGCAAAAACCAAGTGTTTGTTATGGCAATAAGGTCTAGGTTTTCAATAGCTTTCTTTGTTGTTTTTTCTTTTATGTATTTTTTTTAACAGTTATAAATTTTTTTTTCTTTGAAAGCAGAGGTATTTTCCCAGTGGAATGGACTGGGATGCACTACTTTGTAAATACAAGGAGAACAGGGCAAAACATCCAGACAGAGATAACTGTCCTTGAGCTGCACAGTGAACACAATGAGTGGGGATACAGGCTAGACTCATCATAGGCACTTGACACAGAATCACTCAATGAATGGCAGACCCCCCACCCAAAGCCATGAGCACAGGCTGCAGTTAGAGGGCCGGAGGTCTCCTTAACACACTGAAGATACTGCTCAGAGTCAGTGTGAGACAGAGCAGCTGGACATCTTACTTTCAGGAAGAGGGTCTTCAAAATCCATCATCTTTTACAAGTAACCAGAATGAAAAATATGCAACCAGCGCCTTCCCGAAAGCTACATGTATGCTGTGAGGATAAGAATTTGGACTGGAGAGATGGCTTAGCCATGAAAGGCTAGGCTCACAACCAAAAATAGAAGAATGCCATGCTTTTAATTTTTTGTTTTAATGAATTCATGAATTTAAAAGGTCAAAAAATCTGCACTTGTCTCCATCTTTTTCTTATCCTTTTTGTTTTTGTTTTTTACAAAAAATATTACAGAAGAATAAGCAGGAAGAGATGTGGGAAGAACACAGAGACTGAGCTGGAAAAGAACTGTGAACTTCAGGTCATCATGGCTATTGAAGAAACTGTAAACTTTTAAGCTTCTGTGAGATTTTATTTCTATTCAGAAAACATGTAAAGAGGCTGCCTTTCCCCATGAATAAAAATGAAAATGTTCTAAACATTGGTCTTAAGAAGACAAGAAAGCCCCATTTGCCTGTGCAAAGGACTCAGCCCCTCACCTCCTCTGCACTGCTCACTCATCCCCCTGGTATCTTCCGGGATCAAAGAGAGAGAAGTCAGCTTCACTAGCAGAAGTGGGTCCCAAGCACAGCAGAGAAGCTGACAGCCAGACTCTCCAGCTATGTGGAAGACACACCTTAAATAACATATAATGAAAAAAGTAAAAAAAAAAACAAAAACAATAAAAACCCAGATACCATCTTTCATGAGAAATTAAAACCAAAAATCAAAAGAAACCCCCAAAAGTTCTTAATGTGTCACAAAATACATTTCTTGATCGCAGTGGGCAAGAGGGGGATAAACGAAAAAATTGAATTTACCATTCTGGAAGTCTATTCTTTACCCTGTTCTCCTGTTACTTGTTCTTAGACGATCACCACTTTGCCTCAAAACCCAGAAAAACCAAATGGTGTCCTGGTCCATATTTGCATAGTGTTAACAGTAATATTGTAGAGACGAATGAACTCTGTCCCTTCACTTGCAGCCAGATTTCTGAAGAGTATTGGGTCCAATCTCACACGTTCAAAAAACAAGACACAAAGTCCAAGGCCGAAAATCGAGTTCCATTAGCAGCAAGCTGTTCAAATCACTGGATATAGTCTTTTGTCCAAGGGGCAAGAATTAGGCAGTTTTGTCTACAGTTTCGGGTTTTGCTTTCTTTACCATGCAGCGGCGAACTATATTATCAAAACTTCCAAGGTAAAACAAAGCAATGATTCGGAAAAGGCCCATGGTGACCACCTGCAAGATAAAGGAAACCTTTCAGTTCACCCAACAGGACAGCACAATAGCCCATTTTAAAGTAGTCACATTTCTACTAACAGTTTCTAGGACACATCTAATCTACTCTATGAACAATTATAATGAAAACTTTGTAAATGCCAATTATTTCCAAGGACCGAATACTTTGTACACTGGATAGCACTGAGCCTACTAAACAAACACAATATTTGTCTGGCAAATCCCAACCATAAAAAGAACAAAATAGGTATTCTTAGAGGATAGGGCTATAAGGCCTAGGCATGGTGCTGCCCAGCATTTCAGATAAACACCCTACAAGCAAAGCTCTTTGGCTAGGATTTGTTCTAAGTACTAAGCCCTTTTGTTAGGCGCTGAAGAGGCAAAAGTGAGAAATAAATATTCCTTAACTATTTGAACTGTTCTGTTTATTTTTTGAGACAAATTCTCACTATGTTGCTTAGGCTGATCCCAGCTCCTGGTCTCTAGTGATCCCCCCCAGCTTCAGCCTTCTAAGTAGCTGTGACTACAGGTAGGCATGAACCCGGCTTGTAATGGAAATATAGTCAAGTAGAAAGCAATCACTGTCTCAGGAGCAAGGCAGCAATTATCTGTGGCCACTTATCCTGCTCAGTGACAGACTCTCACCAAAGCAACTCCAAATGGCATCATAGGAACTTGCACATTTTCAGATATGAAAGGATTAAAACCCATGTCTGCCAGGTATCCTTTTCCCAGAAGAATGAGATAAAGAAGCATGGGTCACCAAAGGAGAGAGGTGTCATGTGATCTGGTGAGTTTGTAAATATCTCCAGAGAGACTGGCAAGGCCAGCAATGAATTTACAATGAATTAGCAGCCTGAAGATGTGGCTCAGCTGGTTAAGTGTGTTCCTAGCACGCACGAAGTTCTGGCACCCATCCCCAGCACTACATAAAATAGGCCTGGTGGCATCCATGTGTGATCACAGCACTGGCAAGAAGAGGCATCTTAGGGAGGAAAAGTAATGGAAAAGGACAAAAAAAAAATACTATGTCATTCAGCTGTGAAGACAAAATTTTTTTTTTTCTCAAACACAAATCTAACCATAATGATAACACAGCTAATCTAACAAAACGAGCATGGGGAGGACATATGCAGGAGAGCCAGCCGCTCTCCTCCAAGCTAACGGCAACAACAGGATGCACCAAATAAGAAAAGCAGTGGCACCTGGGCACAGGTGCACATCCTCAGGAGTGGAGGCTTTGCTAAAAGAGGAGTGACTGCCTCAGAGACAGGCGCAAAGAGAAGCCGAGGAGGGTCAATTTTCTCCAAAAGCCTTTGCAATGTTTGATTCTGAGGGAGTGAGTGCAAGGCTGACTTCTGAAAACACCAGGGAAACTAAAGGGAAGCTGGTAAAGGGAGCCTGAGTGATACCATGACTACTAGCCAGGGACTTAGGAAGGGGCAAAACAGGCGGCTCTTAAGGGAATTTCAGGACAGTGACCTGATCCTACATGGCCCTGAAGTGGTGGATATGCGCCTCATAGTTTACACTGTGGGCCTTAGGTGAGAATAATGTGTCAATAATGACTCACTTGACACAGGGGTACCACACTAACATGAGGAGTCAGTGACACAGGGGCTGGTGGTCAGGCATATAGGGAATTTGACATCATACTTTCCATTGAGAGTTTCTATAAAACTAAAAAGTAAGGAGTGTTATTTAAAATAAAGCCACAAAACTAAAGGTCAGTCAGGGAAAGACCTTAAGAAAAGCATTTACAACACAAATGATAAAAGCTAAAACAAGGGCAGGTCCAGGCTTCGAACACAAGCCTGTAGTTCTCTAGTGAAAGGAAACTTGAGAATGAGGACAGGGAGGACAGAGAGAACAGGACAGTTAGGGAAGGGAGAGAAATTAGGCATGCTTGTGCAGGGCAGTGGATTGGAAGCTTCATCCAGGGGCTCTGGGAAGCCACTGACGATACAGCTGCATTTCAAAGACACAGCATTGAAACTGATAACACTCCTATGTACTCCAGCTGCCTAGGCAGGGAGCTAGAGGTCATAGGACTGGGACAGGGGCGGTGCTCTAGTCTATGGGAATGAATGCCATCCTTTAAAGCAGCCTGCTGCTACAGACCTTCTACTGTCCCAAGAAAGGTCTCAAATTTGGATTTTTTTTTGTTTGTTTTGCAATGTCTGATTTTGAAACAACTTTATTTGAATATACACACTCATGGACTATGGTGGCTTACAGCCATAATCCCAGTACTAGGGTGGGTAGAAGGGGTGGGGAGTGGCCAGTGTGAGCCTGATGCTTGCTTAGACTACATAGCATGTTGCTGGCCAGCCAGGACTAGAGACAGTCCATACACTTCTATCAGATGGACCACGACATCCCTTTTCATGCTCACAGGCTTCTGTCTACAAGTTTTGGCTCACAACATAGGTGACTCAGGTCAGGGCCAGTGATCTTGGTATCAAGTCTGGGATCATCAGCAGAGCTGCAGAATGTGGGACAGCTGAGGTGATGAGAGGGACCCAGAAGCAGAGGAGTCAGGGATCATATCCCAGTCTCTGGTCAAGCACCCACCACAGAATAAGGACACTGGAGAGACCTGTGGCAGGAGACATGCCAGCTATATAGCCCAGGGCTCTAAAGGGTTATTTTGGACCTGTTGAACTGGAAATGTCTAGTTACTTCCCAGGAAAAATATGTAAAAGAAATTGATCTTTAAAAAAGTTGGATTGTGGGACTGGAGAGATGTCTCAGTGGTTAAGAGTGCTGCTTGCTCTTCCAAAGGTCCTGAGTTCAATTCCCAGCAAGCACATGGTGGCTCACAACCATCTGTAATGAGATGTGATGCCCTCCTTCTGGCCTGTAGGCAATATGCAGGCAGAACACTGTAGACATAATAAATAAATAAATCTTTAAAAAAAAAGTTGGAATGTGACCCTAGCTATGGAGTTGGCTTCCAGACTTGGTATCATTTGTGTGAAGTGGCATGCGTGAGAAGAACGAGACTGCCTGCGGACAGGTGCAGACCTTGTGTTCTTGACCAGCTTTGGTGTCCTGCACTTCTGTTTGTGTAGGCGCCAGCTGCTGGGGCACAATGAGGAACAAGAGCCACATAGGCCCTGTCCTCAAAGATACCTCACAATGTTTATTGTTGGACAATCCTATGACAGTAGGTGCACTTCATAATGTGACAAGGGAAAGAAGTGCCACAAGAAAAAAAAACAAGGAGTTATGTGACCGCATCTTACAGGAACACCTACAGACCCTGTGCTTTGTCAGCAGTGATCCTTGGCTTGGTGTCCCCAAACATTCCTCCCATTATAGCTCTAATCACATGTCTGCCATCACTGTTACCTCACCCAGCAGTCTCGCTGCTACAATGCAAACTCCTTAAACCCTCTTACACCTAGCCACCTGGGGAAGACAGAACCTCATCATTAGGAAGTGAACTTCCAGGTCTGGAGAGATGGCTCAGTGGTGAAGAGCACATCCTGTTCTCCCAGGGGGCCTGCATTTGATTCCCAGCACCTAGATGGCAGCTTACAACTTTCTTTAACTTGTTCCAGGGAATCCAATGCTCTTCTGGTCTTCATGTGGTGCACAGACATACATGCAGGCGAACCATTCATGCACATTTACAATTTAAAAATTAAAATTAAATTCTAAGAGTTGAACTTTCATGTGTCCTGGGTGGAACTGTGAATTCTATAAGGGCAAAGTGTGTCTAATCCTCTCCTTCAGACTCCTTCAGCTTGGCTACCAGTGGCTAAATCACTAGAAAGGAATTCTAATCTAGTATCTCATTGTTTATGGACAGTACTGCCCCTGCACAATTCAAGACCAAGCACTCCTTTTCAAACACATCAGAGCAAGGGCTCTTTATTGAAAACCTAGGTGAACACCCAACAACAGACATAGTCCTTCCACCTGCAGGGCCTGGTACCTCACCTCTTTACATTTAAAATCATTGCACACTTCTCTTGATATTTTTTCTCACAGAAGTTGGATGAGGTAATTGTTGTCTTGTCAATCCATCTATTCTGCCAGTCTACCTGTCTGTATGTCTATCTGGTTGCTGGCTAAGAAAGGGCTTACCTGCTGGAGTCCTTCAGTGATGGAAGTCACTGGGGCCATCCCACAGGTCAGGGAGGACAGCATGTACCCATCTGAGCCAATGGAACTATTAAAATTTCCTTGCTAAAAAAGAAGCAAGAAAAAAACCATGGGGGTATAAAGTAAGTTTAAAGGAATCAGTTCAATACAGGAGAAGCAATGAAGTATGACCCTTCCCTTTATGTGGGGTAGGATGGCAACTCAGAATATACCAGAACGAAAAAATGGACACACAGACTTAATGCATGTCAGTTCTGAAAATCTGAGTCCACAGATCCCCATGGGTTCCAGACCCTTCCAGGGTCTCTAGGGACAATGCAACTATCAAATAACACTGAGACATTTTGCTTGTCTCACCGCTGACCTCTGTACTGAAGAACAAACTGCCACAGCACAAACCAGTGAGTTTTTTTGTTTGTTTGTTTGTTTGTTTGGGGGGGACTGAGGGCTAGTGGCTCTAATTCAGTCACTGTACTGCCACTACAGCAACAAAGAAAACACAATATAAAAAAGTCTTTAGGAACCTGAAAGATACTCTTACTTAAAAATACTTGATAAAGTAGGAAAGTTCAGCAATTTATTAAATAGTGACCTTTGAAGACATCTCTCCTCCATACAATGCCCATACCCCTAGCTTCAGGTACCAATACTTAGCCAAGGTCTGAAAAACCTAAGTGGAAATCCAAGAAATAAGTGATTCACAAGTGTTAAGTTGCATGTTGTCTGCACAGCATACTGGTATCTTGGGCTGTCCAGCTCTGTCCCACCTGGGACACGTGTCACTTCTTTGGTCATCGGTATAACCAGGGCCTTAATCCATTAGGTTTCAGGCTGCCCTTGATCTCATTATGTAACTGAGGATGCTCTTGAATTTCTCATCCTCTTGCCTCTACCTCCCAAGTGCTGGGATCACAGTTGTGTATTATCATCGTCAGTTTATGTGGCATTAGGGAAGGAACCAAGCCTTCATGCATGATAGGCTATCACTCTGCCAACTCTGCTACATCACCAACTAAGCTTTTCCATAGGTATGTACAGGACACACATAGCATACACAGGGGTCAGTATCACTGGACATTTTAGGCTGGTCTTGGACTATCTCCTAGAGGACATTCCTAGAGGACAAGAGAAGGAGGGCTCCTGTTCCTCATGTGACAAATGCTTAAACTGGGATTTGCTTAAACTAAAGGATGGCTGACACCTTGAAGGAAGGCCCTCTTGCAATGTTCAGAGATGAGCTCCCTGACAACCACTGACCAGCAGGCTGCATTCGGACTTGGGTTTGAGACACGAATGGGGCAGATGAATGATGTAAATCTGTGGCTTGCAGGAAAACCATAGGATACATGAGGGCAGTGATAAAATCTGAACTTTTAGGGAAAAATTAAGATTTGGGAAAACTTCACCCATCAATGTTGAGACTTCTGGGGTCCTAATATTTCCATGATCTCTGATGAATGCGACTTTTGATTCCATATCTTCCAAATGACTTAATGATTTCAAATGGTGAATGAGTGAAAGACCCGTTCAAAGTACAAATGGGAGAGGGATTTTAATGACACAGAGAATGAAAAGCTCATTGGTACAGCTTCTAATTTCACACTGGAACCAACCTTTAAAAAAACCTCTATTTGTCAAGTTGGGGGATAATATAAAAAAGAAAATTATGCCCATAATTATCCTAAAAGCTTAGTGAAGACTTTGTCCTCTCCCAACTACATATCTGTTTAAAGTCAGCTTTTCTTCAAATGTTTCAAGAAGAATGTATTTAACAGATTGGCCACAGAAGCAGACACAGGAGTCCAGCTGGCATCTATTAATGCAGACCTTGTACAGGCTCATGAAAATACAATACCACACTTCTCACTGAATTTCTGTTTTAAATAGTTATTTTTGAGCCAGGCATGGCAGTGCATGCCTGAAATATCAGCACGTGAGGAGTGGGAGAAGGGTCAGCAGTTCAAGGTTATTCTCAGCGGCAGATTGAGTTTGAAGCCAGCCAGGTACGACTCCTCAGACAAAATTTCTTGTCATGTGAGTTTGATGATCTAAGTATCACCCCAGAACCCCCAGTGTAAGGAAACAACTAACCCCCCAAAGTTGTTCTCTAACCTCTATACTCACGAGCACACACACACACATTCTCTCTCTCTCCCTCTCTCCCTCTCTCCCTCCCTCCCTCCT